TAATTTATATTTTCTATATTGAGCCAACACCTTCCATAGGGGAAGGGCAATATTTGCAATCAACTACCAACATTAGTAGAATCATTTCAACTTTGCAACTGTGAGCCAACACCTTCCATAAGGGATGATTCTTACCGCTTTTTAGAAATTTTCATATTAAAATTCTAATGTCTCTTATGATTGTTACACCCCTCTATTCTATATGTCTATGTGTTGGATCTTTGTACAAAGCAAGGACAAACTTCATCTCTCTACTGTCACGAATGTTCTAGGACGTAACAATGTTTAAATTTATATTTGTAGAAGAAAAAAATAATATAGTGAGATAAAAACTTGATGATATTGTTGTTATAGAACATAGTAAGCTTATCATTTTTTTAGGTTTATAAAAATGTAAAAATGTTATGTGAAAAATCTCGAATGGTGAAAGTTGTGGGACCTTATTCAGTTTACATCGACATTGATATATATGCTCTTCCCTATGACTGGGGAAGACAAAATGATGATTGCTAGTATCGATCGATGACTGGATGATGGATGTTACCATTGTTTGATGATGGATGGTGACATTCACTCCATAATCTATATATGAGATATTTTTCTTACTATTTTCTATAACAATTTTTTAGAACAGCTTTTTTTAAGCAGTGAAAAAAAAAAAGTCAAAAGTTATCCCAAACAAAATCCTAGTTAGCATGAATAGTTTGTAAAAACTATCATTAAATATATTTTATATTTTATTAGTTGTATTAGATACAAAATTATGATTACTTTATTTAATCTTAAATATTTGAGTATTAATTCTATTTAAAAAAAATTATAAAGTATAGAAATTTCATAGATTATTATAATTTAGGTTCAAATTGTTGAAGTAGCAATGCGAATAGCTCCATGGCCCAGATGGTAATAACATTTTGAAGAATTTGGAAGGGATGGATTTGAATACAATGGATGTTCCCTTTGCTCGTTGTGGGCTTTATTTAATGCAAAGAAATTTTTTTCTCTCAAGCTTATGGAATTTAAATTGATGTTTCTTATTACAAATTTAAATAAATTTTTCCATACAATATAACATAAAGCCTATCACTCTACGTGGGGTCAGTTACATGAATCCTTGTTTCTCATTGTGTGTTATGTTATGAGTCAAATAATTTTCAAAGATAAAATTAATTAAATTTATTTAAAATATTTTAAATATGAAATAAGATGAGTATTATAATTGATTTTATTGTCGAAAAATATATAATTTATAGATTTACAAGATTTTTAATGAAAATATTGTACACATATTTGCTCGGGGCGGTTTGATCAAGTCTTTACAAGGCTGCATTAGATGCAATTAGTCTTGAATCGTGCAAAGCCAAAGCTACCAAAATCCTTGAATTTGCCAAAGCCATAATAATGTAGGCCACACACGAATAAGCCTTATTTGGATACTAGACGGAGAGAACCGTCTGAATTTGTCTCTGTGAACAATAGAAGAACATCATGAACATATAAAAAGACTTAGTTTGAAAATATTAAGAATATATATATATTTAACAATATGATTAAAATATAACAAACTTATTTAACAATATGATTAAAATATTAGATAAATAAAACTAAAATTTGATAATACAATTAAATTATTAGATATTTATAAATTTTTTTTATACTTGATTATATATTTTTGTTGTGATTATTGATATGCCTTAAGAATATTCATTTTGGATTTTCTACGAAGACGGCTTTTTTACTGCTTTTAAAGCAACATTATAGTAGAAAAATTTTAATTTTTTAACTAAAAAGCTGCTTTAAGCAGCAGTAAAAAAGCCGTCCCAAATAAAGCCTTCATTTGAGACAATTTATTTGTTACTTTTTAAAGCAAATTTTAAGTACATAAATTTGTACTTCAAAATATATTTTTTTTTCTAAAATGATGCTTAAAAAATAATTAAAAAAATTATCTCAAATAAAATCTTAATGTGAAAACTTGGCTTCAAACGCACATACAAATTAATTATTGCTAGTAATAAAATATCACATAGATAGACTTAGATCAATACCACTTACATTAACACTTATCACTAACCCCATTTAACAACCAGTCAGTCCATCGTTGAATGGGCGTGTTTCCCATCGGCTGACTTTTTTTATTTTTTTTAATAGTTTTAGATATTTTTTAATAGATTAAGATTAATGCTACTTTGATTAAATATAAATATTATAACAAAATATGGATCACACCAGCACTAGTCATATAATTTAATAAAAGTACGACTATAATATAAAATTATGATTAAAGATGCTTTTGATTATAATTTTAAACAAAGATTTGAATAACGATGCACTTAGAGCCCTTTAATACACTTAATGCAAGATCATGATTAAATAATAATAATAATAATAATAATAAACGTATACCAACACGCTGGGTTGTGTAATCTGCTTGGGGCAAATTATTAGGTCCGGTCACCTGACAGAGAAATACATTCATATTTCTCTCTACCTACAGTAAGCGTGGTGAAAGTGCAATCAAAGCGCAATTACTGTAGCAGCTGTGCTTTAACTGCGCTTTGACTATGCTTTTACTGTAGACAGAGAAAAATCATGATGTATCTCTCTGTGAGATGACCAGACATAATAATTTTCCTCTTATTGGTCATCGTCAAAATCCAGCTAGCCATATTGCCAGCTTTTCATGCTCTAACAGACTTATAAAAAACTATGACGCAGTAATTGCGGTCCTTATACAATAACCGAATGCATCGAAGAACTAGCATAGAAATTTGAACTCCCTTCGGAATAGTGGATCCACCTAGTTTTCCACATTTATCTAGTCAAAACTTACCGACAGGACCTCGCTTGACACCCCGTTCAATTCCTGCAGCTGTATGGGAAACCATCATGTTGCGGGTTAGAATAGACGCGGCGATAGAGTTGGAAAATTTTTCGTTTCAATATTATATGAATATCCAGCTTATAAACAGAAAAAAATGTAACACTAGAACTTCTACATGAAAACCGTGGAAAAGGGAAAAATCACGGGGCTACGCACAATTTACACTAGTGTTTGCTTAGATTACAAGTGGTTGATTCGTCCTTGAAATTGAGGACGATCATATTATAATGATCAACTCCCAGGTTGAAATTCAGTTACAAACGAAGATCTGAAATCCGGCGACGTTTGGTGGTCGGGCCGAAATCCGGCTTCAATTGACGGTCGGGTAGAAATCCGGCGTCAGTTGGCTATCAGGTAGAACTCTGGCATCAGTTGAGGGTCGGGCAGAATTCCAGTGTCAATTGGCAATTGGGTAGAACTCTAGCGTCGGTTGATTGCTAGGTGGAAGTTCGACGGTGTTCGAGGAGGAGTCTCTTCATTTTCTTCTTGCTTCCTTTCTTCTCTTCTTTTCTTATTTTCTTGCTTAATTCAATGTCAGTTGGTGATTAAGCAGAACTCCGATGTCGATTAGCTGCTGGGTGGAAGTCCGATGATGGTCGAGGAGGAGTATCTTCCTTCTCTTCTCTTCTCTTCTTGTTTGATCCCCTCTCATGTGAAATGAGTGTTCTATTTATAGTTTTTTTAAGTGGCATGACCAGTAAATAAGAGAAAGATTAATGGTAAATTGGGAAAATTGGTAGTAATTTGAATGGACGGTCGATGTTGAATATAATCCCTTGATCATGAACCGTTTATTGAGCATTTGAATGTCTTAATGATATCAAAATTCTACGATCTTAGGCTCGTTGGATTTTTCTCGTCGAGTCGCTCAATTCAACTATAAGCACGTCACATTTGGAAACTGTTTGGCAATCCAAATTATGGATTGAACCTTCCAGATGCGCTTCGGGTCTTTGATTTGAACTTATTTGTGCTCAGATTGAGTTGAATTTGGTGTCCTTGGGTTCGTATTTCCAAGACGTTCAGTTCGACTATAAGTTTGTTGAAATCAAAGTTTGGATGATTTCCGATTTAATTTTTGAAATTTCCAACTTGATTTTAAGATTGTGCCCCCGATTAAAATAATTTTTTGATGATACATCACATCACATGCTACAGCCTGCACTAAACTGCTTGATAGGTGCCAAGTCAACAAGGTGATAAGTTCCTCACTGTATAGCAACCCAAGCAGAACTTCTATCTCTGGCAACAAAATTGGAAGCAAGAATGGCCTCAACAGTCCAACCATGACAAGGATCAGTTGAGCAGACTCGTAATCGGGTCGAGCTCGGCTCGATAGCTGGCCTTGACTCGATTTATTAACTCATGAGCATATTTGTTTAAAACAAAACATCTAAGATTAAATTCTAATGAAAAAACATTTACATCCCCTCATTTCCTTCAAACTAAACAAATCCATAGAATTTTCCTAAGAAATATTTTACAAGTCATTGAATTTTTCTAATAATTTTTTTTTTTAAATGTAGCTCAATTAAGACAAACTCACACAAACGACACATATATAAAACTCGAACCCAAGACCTCTTAATTGATCAGCCGAAGCTCCTAACCAACAGACCATGATGAATTTGATTACCAAAAAAATATTGATAAATATATATTTCATTATAAAACTTCTATCCTACACTAATAAAAAATTATATGGATGTTTTTTGCTCATTTCTTATAAGAAATTAAAAAAAAAACACCCAATTTCTTATAAACAACATAATAAAAATAATTCCATTTAATTTTTCTCAAGGAATAAATAATTGAAAATCAATTTCAATTTATTATTATTATTATTATTATTATTATTTCATTTCATCTTTTCAAACTAGCAACAATTGAGAACTTGTTCACGAGAGGGGAAATTAAGAATTTAATTAAAGTAAAATAAAAACCCCCCCAAGGAGAAATTGGAATTCCAATGTAGGAGAATATAAATGGAAGATCAAATGGTCCCACATTCCACATCAAATAAGTGGAATCTTATCATCCTTTAGTTTTGTTCTTATCATTCATCATATTCCATGACCTAAAAGCTTTATAGTTAATTTTTAAACAATAAAATCTGTTTTAAAAAATAGTAAAAAATTGAATTTGCATTATTTAATATTTAATTGCATCACAAAAAATAATTATTGATCGCACGAAGATTACAAAGCCAATCGGCACCGATTAGCTACCATTTCTTAAAATAAACAAAATTCAAATTAACAGTCAAACGATCGCCGGAGGTGTTGACTTCTGCGGTGACGACAGCCGGCGACGACACGTCGGGCACGACCTGTGCGAAAGCAGCCACTTGTCAATACACCCCACATGAAACCCGTGGCCGCATGCCGGCAAAACTCTCATCTTGTCCCCGTCCGTCAAATCAGACAGACATATCGGGCACCGCACAACCGCTGCCGGCGATATCGATGAACCTTCACCGGCGCCGGGCGTCGTCACAGCGGCAAAGACTGTTATGGGAAGCGAGAGGACGTCCGACTGCCTCAGGCCCGCATTGAGCCGTCTGGCGGCGACCCAGCCCGCTGGGTCGGAGATGGCCCGACGGGTGCAACGGACTACGCAGTGGAGGGTTGTGTTGAGACCGAGCACGCAGAGCAAGGCGCAAGTCATGGCGGCAAGCACGATCACCATGTGTTGGGTGATGAGAGGGGCCGGCGGCGATGCGATGGTGATGGGGGGCGGAGCAGGGGAGCTGGAGAGTGGGTGGCAGGGGAAGCGATGGTCCATGGAGTAGGGGGGAGGGAGTGCATGGGATGGGAGGGAGATGATGAAAAGCGAGAGAGAGGAGGAAGAAGGTGGATGGTGGTGGCTAAGGGGATATGCTTTGAGAGATAAGCTTGCCACTATGATTTGCTTTCTTCTTAATGGAATGGCATCTTCGACCTTTGTGTGTTGGTCGCTTTGGTGATAAAAATTTAAGACATGGTAGGGCTAAAAAAATTTTAATTTTTTTTTTAAGATACATAAAGTAAATTTAAGACTCCATGCCATGATTATTAAATTTTTGTTATGATACCCTCAACTATATTTTCTCAATTATCTTTCTAATGAAGATTATGAAATTAATCTTAATTATTCATCCATTTTAAAATCATATCAACAAAAAGATCAAATCTTATATATTTTTTAATTGTGGTTATCAATCATTTAATAGATTGATATTACATTTTACATTTAAATAGGGGTGTCAAAATAGGTTAATGAGTCTGATTCAAGTCCAATATGAAATTAAGCCAACTCAAATTCCTTTAACTTGAACATAAACAAGTCACATGGTGGATCCGAACTCGACATTGGTGACTTGAACCTAATTAAATAAATATTTATTATTTTTTTTTACAACTTTTCACTATAGAGTTTAGGTTAAGTGATCAAAGATAATATCCTACCAACAAATAAAAGAATTTAACGAAAAAATTAAGGGGGATTTACATGCATACCACTTTATTTCATGCTATTTACATATCTAACACTTAAAACATTAATATTACATGCCTACCACCCATAGAATGAAATATGAGTGGTATGTAATGAAAATTGGGTTCATGGAATGAAATATTACATATCTACCATGCACAAATATGAGTGCATGAAATGAAATATTAAAATTTATAGGGTGGTATGAGTGATATAAATGAAATATATGTGTGACAAATTTAATATTAAAATTGTATATGAGTGGTAAGTATGTAATATTAATGTTTTAGATGTTGGATATATAAATAGCATGAAATAATGTGGACTGTATGGATTATTTTTTTGATCAAAATTGGGTTCATGGGTCAACCTAAACATGTACTCGACCCATTTAAGAGGCTGGCAACCCAAACCATAATTTTTTCGAATCATATCCAAATCACTTTGTCAGGTCGCGTGCATCATAAATTAACACCCTTAAATTTAAAAGAGGTCAAAATTATGTTAGAATCCATTAAAAAATATTAAATCTAAATCAAGAAAAAAGACTTCCTAATTTTTTTATATTATATTATCATCTTGTTGTCCAAGATGAATAAAGAAGTCTCAATTTTCATAGTTGTGCTTATTAGAGAAAGAATTGATGATTGGAGTGCTCAAAATAGTAATTCATGTTGAACTAAATAAATAATATATTCTAAAGAGGAATCATTGTCTATTCACTATAATAAATTGTGATAGGAGATTTTGGTGAAGCCTTATCCATAAAGTAAATAATGAATGATAGCACCAAAGTCTAAATATTTCTAATGGAAGGCCAACAGCTTTGCAAATCTTTAGGGATTCAGTTGTAATTTAGGTGGATTCTTGGGACAAAATTGTATTGATTTTGTGAGCTAGAAATCACCACCTCCTTCAACTTTAATAACCTTTTGTATGTGATGATGATGATTAATTGATTATTATTGTTATTTTATAATCTTTTGTATAAGATCATGCCTTTAGTAAATATTTTCATTAGGGGTGTTTAAAACCAAAGATTAATAAAATTTAAAAGAGTAATACTCCAATTGCAAAGGAGTATTTAGCCTGCAACTTTTTGTTTACTTGACACATTTAATTATTTAATTTTTTGATTAGTATAGAGGACACGACTCATATTGATCTGTTGGTCGGGAGTTTTAATTATCAACCCAGAGGTCTTTAGCTCGAAGATTGGGTATGCGAACGTGTTTGATTTGTTTATCATATAGATCTAAAATTTTTTTAGATAAAAATGATCTTTTTGACTCGTTTATCATATATCATGTGATTTTTTAGATGACACAATTCATAACCTAAAAATAAAAGATTTAACATAAATATAAATGATAATCTAAGTTAATTTCGGATTTTCAAATCAAATCGTACTTGAAAAAAATTATCAGGATTGTCATTTTAAACCCAAATTCAACCCAAAAAATAATATGGTGAGCCTGAACCTAAATCTTTTGAGTCAAGTTTAGTCAGGTCATTTTTTGACACCTTTGTAATTAAAGAGAATTAATATTATTTGGTAGCAAATAAATATTTTAATGGACCAAATTATGTATCTTCCATCAAATTGAGCAAAAATAAATAAAAAAAAGGTTGTAGATGGCACAACATTTATTAATTTGTCACTATACACAACTTTTAATGCAAGATAATATTGATTAAATATTGCAAACTTAAAGAATACTTTTTTTTTTTGTTTGATAATTGGCAATGCCCAACCTGTCATTACTTTACAAATGCTTTGTATGATCCCTTAGTTATGAATATAACTTTTTTTTTTTTTTTTGTGAAATTATATCTTTTTATTCTGAGCTTATCTCATACAATTCTCATATGTTTGTAATTTTATTTTTGTTTTACTTTATCAACTTTATTTATTATGTTCATCTATTTTTTATTGTTTTTAGTTATGCTTCTTAGAAATATATTTATTATTTTAGTTTAATTTATTATTATTTTTATTCTCAAAATTATTTTTTATAGGAAATTGAGCTACGGCCCTTAACAATTTCAACAACTCTGGCCATGATAGTAATTAATGAGATTAATTATTTATTTGATAATATATTATTTGGAATAAAGTGACTTAGGTTTTGATACATCCTTCAAAAATTATCTTGATAGGGCACGAATCTCAAGGCAAAATCAAGGTGGAAGCTTTTGAAATTAAAATTGGGACCATCCGAACTCCGATTTCAGCAAACTTACATTCAAACTGAACGTCTCGAAAATACGAACCTAATGACACCAAATTCGACTCAATCTGAGCCCAAATGAGTCCAAATCAAGGACTCGAAGCGCTGTTGGAAGGTTCAAGCCACAATTTGAATTACCAAACGGATTTCAAACAGTACTTGCTTATAGTCGAATTGAGCGGCTCGACGAGACGAATCCAACAGCCCAAGATCGCTGAATTCCGACATCACTGAGACCTTCAAATGACTGACGAACGATGCATGATCAAGGGATTCAATATCGACTATCCATCCAACCACTCCCCATTTACCCTTGATCTCTCACCTATTTACGGGCCATGCCACTCCAGAAAATCTATAAATAGATCTCTCATTTCTCTTGAAGGATGATGGAAGAAGAGAAGAAGGAAGAGAAGGAAGAAGCTCCTCCTCGATCACCGCCGGACTTCCGCCGAACCACCACCTGAGGCCCTCACCTCCGCCGGACCACCGCATTACTGCATTGCTTTGACGGACCACCACTTGAGGCCCTCACCTCCGACGGACCACCGCCTGACGCCGTTGCTCCGCTGAACCACCACTTGAGGCCCTCACCTCCGCTGGACTACCGCCTGACGTCGTTGCTCCATCAGACCACCACTTGAGGCCCTCACCTCCGCCGGACCACCGCCTGACGCCGTTGCTCCGCTGGACCATCGCCTGACGCCGTTGCTCCGTCGGACCACCACTTGAGGCCTTCACCTCTGCCGAACCACCACTTGAGGCCATCACCTCCGCCAAACTACCACCTGACGTTGTTGCTCCGTCGGAACACCACCTGAGGCCCTCACCTCCGTTGGACCACCACCTGACGCCGTTGCTCCGCCTGACCACCACTTGAGGCCCTCACCTCCGCCGAACCACCGCCTGACGCCGTTGCTCCTCCAGACCACCACTTGAGGCCCTCACCTCATCCGGACTACCACCTGATATCGTTGCTCTGCCGAACCACCACTTGAGGCCCTCACCTTCTCCGGACCACCGTCTGATGTCGTTGCTCCGCCGAACCACCACTTGAGGCCCTCACCTCCTCCGGACCACCGCCTGATGCCGTTGCTCCGCCGAACCACCACTTGAGGCCCTCACCTCCGCCGAACTGCCACTTGAGGCCCTATTCTTTTCCAGGACACCACCTGAGGCCCGAACTTCTGCTAGGCCACCACATGAAGCCCAGAGTTCTACCAGAGTACCGCCCTACTACAACGATCTTTCTGACCCCGGTCTCCTGCTGACTACGATCCTTCTGGCCTTCTTCAACTACTATGGTCTTTCCGACCTCCATCAACAGACAACGATCTTTGAGACCCTGGTCAACTGCCGACTATGGTCCTTCTGACCTCTGTCGCCTACTATGGTCCTTCCGACCACCATCAACAGACAATGGTCTTTCTGACTCCGGTCTCATGCTGACTACGATCCTTCTGACCTCCATCGACTACTATGGTCCTTTCGACCTCCATCAACAGAAAACAGTCTTTCTGACCCCGGTCTCCTGCCAATTACGATCCTTCTGACCTCCGTCGCCTACTATGGTCCTTCCGACCTCCATCATCAGACAATGGTCTTTCCGACCTCCATCCTATTGACTATGGTCGTGCCGACAAAACAAACACATTTATTGTAACTCCCACCATATAATACACTCTATATGATGTACATTTATGACATCAAGCCAAGGCCTTCTCCCAAGGAAGGGCCTCATTTGTAATTGACTGCAAATACTAGTGGATTCATTCAAACTGGGCCAGGCCTCGTGATTTTCCCCCTTTTCAAGGGTTTCCACGTAAAAACTCTAGTGTCTCTTATGAACGCTACACCCTCTCACTTATCTGATTGTGTGCTGGATCTTCGTACAATGCTAAGATGTTAAACTATATATTTCTCTTTTTTTTTTTTTGAGAAACACCATTAATTGTATGTGCCACAATTTAATGAAAGAAAAAGACTTAGTTATAAAATTTTTTGTGTTTTTTTTTTTAATTTGAGTGATATTATTAATTCATAATTCTCAAGAAATTTCATTTGATAGACAAAAAAATTGGTGAAGTATTTCTATTGAAAATTTTTTAGAATTAAATTTAGAATATTTCGAACTCCATTTTTATAAAAATTATATTTAAAATGAGTACACAAAACGGACCTAATAACACCTAAAATATTCTAATCCGAATCAAAATGAACCAAATAAATTCATTCAA